GGACCTGGTGTCCTATTAAATGGGAACAATTTCACAGAACATCAACCCCAGACGAGGCCACTCTGTGACCATGAAAAATCAAAACAAAAACAAGACCACCTTTTTGCACCTTCCCTTTTGCTCTCCCTGTGGTGTGACAATGGGTCTAGTCATCATCTGTGGCATATGTATCATGCTCTGTAAGCCTGTATCTTACCCTTGCCCTATAATCCTATCTTTCTCTCAATAACCTCATTTTGTGCTTGCCTGAAAAAAAGAGAGAGAGACAGAGAGAGTGGGTAGATGGGTGGGAAAAAAGGAAAACAAGACCACTTCATAACTTGTCTGAATACAGACAAACATGAACATTGTTGAAGCCACAAAATGGCAGTCACTCCCTCTCCTGGCTCGTGTGAGTGATGGCTGCTTCCTTACCAGTTCCAGCTTCAGCCTCACTCCAGCCTGCTCTCCCTATAAATAAAATGTACTGAGCTTCCCAGCCGTAAGATTATTCCTGCTTCAGGAGGCACCAATCCAGAGCAAAATTCTGGCTTCCTTGGACCCTCCCGCAAATCACCCAACCAAAGTCCTAATCCTATGATGAGTTCTAGCACCTTTTTACTGAGGCACCCATGGCTCCTTGTGGTGTGCATTTTCGTTTGCTGCAACATGTTCAATCACAGCTGTGCTCTTGGTGGCTGATGGCTGACAGCATTGACAGGGTATCAGTTAAGACTAGATTCGCTATGAATGAAAGGAAAACCAGTATAACAGTAGCTTAAACAAGATCCAGATTTCTCTCTCCCTCTGCTCTCATAAAGTAAGTCCACAGGTAAGTGATGGCTCCTCAATCAGCAGGGACCCAGGCTTCTTCCATATTGTGGCTCTGACTTCTACCTCATGGGTATGGAACGTTTCAAACATTTACAAAAGGAGAGCGTCAACTACAACAAACTCCCTAAACCTCAATTCCTGGCCCATTTTGTTTCAACTATAACCCGTCTACTTTCCCACTTCCTCCATCTGGATTGTTTTGGATTTTTAAAAGAGCAGTCCCCAATACAATATCACACCTAAAAAATTTTTTTTTTAATTTATAAAGAAAAGAGATCTATTTGGCTCACAGTCCTACAGGCTGTACAAGAAGCATGGCACCAGCATCTGTTTCTGGTGAGGGCTTCAAGGCAAAAGGAGAAGGGGGAGCAGGTGCGTCACAAGGCAAGAGAGGAAGCGAGAGAGGGAGGAGGGGTGCCAGGCTCCGTTAATGCGAACTTAGTCATTATTATCGTGGGATGGGCACCAAGCCATTCATGAGGGATCTGCCCCTGTGACCCAAATACCTCTCACCAGGCCCCACCCCAACACTGGTGATAGAATTTCAACATGAGATTTGGAGGGACAAGTATCCAAACTATATTGGAGTCAAATACCTAGGAATGGCCCTTGCTCTCCAAAGATTTGGGATAGAAAGGGAGCCAGATTTGGGAACTGATCCTTGCAGGTATGGGGACACAGGTGGGAGTGGAGGTTTGATTCAATTTAATAATGTAGCTCATTCTTTGTGTTTCTGGTGCTCAGTGTCTGACACATAGTAATTATCACACCTAAAGAAATGAATGATTCCTTGATAAGGTGCAACACCCAGTGAGTGTTCACATTTGCCTGTCAGACTGGCCCCTAACATTTGGGAAGCTGCCATGAAGCCCACACACCGATTGTCTCAATGTTTACCACTTGGAACAAAGCTGGGCTCTGGCACTCCCACCCAGGGGCCCACAGCGCACTCCCTGAGAACTGCCCTTGAGGCACAGTGGCTGCTTCTCTTCTTGTGCCACCTAAGTGGGCACGGATATGCCGGGCAGCACAGGGCAGGGGCCCAGCAGGCCAGAGCGCCATTGCCGGGGACACTTGTCTGCTAGATGCCCACTTTGGGGGTTTGGGGTGGCCAGCCCGAATCAAGGAGCCCCTTTTTTCCTGGTTCTCCAGGGCAGAGGTGAAGTTTCTCCTGCATGCACAGCCCCCAGTGCCTGCTGTCTGTCTCTGTCCATCTCTCTATCTCTGGCTTTCAGCCCCACGTCCTCTGGCCAAGGAGATCCAGTTCAGCTCATTCTTTTTTTTTTTTTTTTTTTTGAGACAGAGTCTCGCTTTGTTGCCCAGGCTAGAGTGAGTGTTGTGGAGTCAGCCTAGCTCACAGCAACCTCACACTCCTGGGCTCAAGCGATCCTGCTGCCTCAGCCTCCCGAGTATCTGGGACTACAGGCATGTGCCACCATGCCCGGCTAATTTTTTTTTTCTATATATATTAGTTGGCCAATTAATTTGTTTCTATTTATAGTAGAGACGGGGTCTCACTCTTGCTCAGGCTGGTTTCGAACTCCTGACTTCAAGCAATCCACCCACCTCAGCCTCCCATAGTGCTAGGATTACAGGTGTGAGCCACCTCGCCCGGCCGAGTTCAGCTCATTCTTCCCTCTCCTTTTCTCTCCCATAACCCTATTTGCTTAATTACCAGATTTTTCAAAACCTTCCTTAAGAGACTGAAAAGAAAATAAATATCTTAGTGTCTGTGTTGAGTGCGACAGGTGTGGCTTCTCTGACGAAACCCCCAATGTGCGAGGGCAGCAGCATCTGTAGTCGGTTTCTCTGAATGAAATCCCAGGGAAGTCTGTACGTTGCATTGATTGTTGTGCCTCCTCTTTCTCTCAACCTTTTATTTTGAAAAAGTCAAATGTACAGAAAAGTTGAAAGAACTGTACAGTGGCCACACATATGCTTGCCATCCAGACTCACCACAAGTTAATATTTTGCCACATTGGCTAACGTCTCTCTCTTCCCGACTCTGCCTTTTCATGCAGATGTCTTCTTTACCGAATCCCTTGAAAGCCAGTGGCAGACATTGTGACCCTTCACCCCTAAATATCTTCAACGCATGCCTCCTAAGAATGCTATGTCCTGCATAAGCACCCCTCTTTATCACACCAGCAAAGAAACCAGCCCTCGATTCAGTCGTGTCATCTGATACACAGGTCACTCAGATTTCCCCAGATGTCCCACAGATATCTCTTGTGGACTTTTGTTGTCCTCCCTGTCATCATTGATCCAGCGTCCACTTGAGGATCACATATTGCATTTGCTCATTGTGTCTTCTCAGTCTCTTCTTTTTTTTTTTTTTTTTGAGACCAGAAGTCTCCACCTTTGTTGGCCCAGGCTAGAGTGAGTGCCATGGCGTCAGCCAGCTCACAGCAACCTCAAACTCCTGGGCTCAAGAATCCTCCTGCCTCAGCCTCCGAGTAGCTGGGACTACAGGCATGCGCCACCATGCCCGGCTAATTTTATATATATATATTTGTTGGCCAATTAATTTCTTTCTATTTTTTTATAGTAGAGACAGGGTCTTGCTCAGGCTGGTTTTGAACTCCTGACCTTGAGCAATCCACCTGCCTCGGCCTCCCAGAGTGCTAGGATTACAGGCGTGAGCCACCATGCCTGGCCTCAGTCTCTTCTAATCTAGAACAGCCCCCCTCACCCCCAGACGTGCACTTCTTCAGGGCTGTGTTAACATAGCCTCTGAGAAGCAGATGCTACGATGAGACTAGGCATACAGGAGACTTACTGGGGGAAACACGTGGGAGAGGCAAATGGGAGGGAGTGGGGAGGCTGGGCGAGTCCTCAGCCAGCCATGCAGGTTGCCCTGGGGACAGAGCAAAGGCAGGGAGGCTGGAAGAAGTCTCACTGTGCTGCAGTTCCCAGGAAGCTTCAGCAAAGCCTGGCCAATAGCATTGGCTGTTGTCATCTTACTTGTTTGGCCATCGTAGTGGGTGTGCAGCAGTGTCCTGTTGTGACTTCTCCAAATTGTGACATCTCCCTAATGACTGACATTCAGCATCTTTGCATGTGCTTGTTGGCCACTTATATATCATCTTTGGAGAAATTCAGACTTATGATTTGCAAATATTTTCTCCTATTCCATTGGTTGTCTTTTCACTCCCTTACTGGATATCTTTTGAAGCATAAAAGTTCCTAATTTTGATGAAGCCCAGTTTATTTTCTCTTTTGTTGCTTGTGCTTTTGGTGTTATATCTGAAAAACCCAAGGTCACAGGGATTTACTCCTGTTTTCTTCTAGGAGTTTTATCTTTTTTTTTTTTTTTTTTTGAGACAGGGTCTTGCTCTGTCACCCTAGGCTGGAGTGCAGTGGCCTTGTCATAGCTCACTGCAGCCTCAAACTCCTGGGCTCAAGCAATCCTCACACCTCAGCCTCCCTTGTAGCTAGGACTGCAGGTTTTGGCCACCACGCCCAGGTGGTGGCCAAAATACATTAAATACATTAATGTATTTAATGTATTAAATGGCCAATGTTATTGGCCAATTAAATGGCCAAAATACATTAAAATGTATTTAAAAATACATTTTTAAAGATGTATTTTTTAGAGATAGAGTCTCCTATGTTGTCCAGGCTGGTCTAGACTCCTGGCCTCAAGTGGTCTTCCCACCTTGGCCTCCCAGAGTGCTGGGATTATAGGTGGGAGCCACCACACCTGGCCCAGATTCATTCTTTTACATGTAGATATCCAGATGTCCCAGTACCATTTGTTGAAAGGGTTATTCTTTCACCTATTTAGTTTTTTTTGGCACTCTGTCAAATAGCAATTGAGCATAATGTGAGAGTTTATTTCTGGACTGCCTGTTCTGTTCTATTGATTTATAGATCTATCCCTTAAGCCAGTACTACACTTTCTTGGCTCCTATGGCTTTGTAATAAGCTTTGAAATTGTGCAGTATGATTCATTCAACTTCTTTCTTCTTTTTCAGGCATTGAATTTTTTTATTTGTCTGTTAAATCTCTTTTAATCTGTAGTGCCCCAGCCTTTTTTTATTTCTTGCAATTTACTTGTTGAAGAAACAGGGTCATTTGTTCTGTAGAGTTTCCATCAGTTTGAATTTGTTGATTGCATCTCTGTAGTGTCATTTAACATGTTCTTCTGTCCCTGTATTTCAGTAACTCACTGTGATCTGATTTAGGTTCACTCTGTAGGAATAATTCCCGGGTGGATGCCATCTGTCATGTTAGGGGCTATCCGTGTTCCTCACCTGGATTATTTTTTCCTTAGAGGTAATTTGCATTTTGAAAGGGTCACTCCGCTTGCTGAGGTGTGTGTTGTGTATGAATGCCAGAGTTGTTGTGAGGACGGAGTGGGATAATCATGGAAGAAAGCACTTGGCATGTACCTGACACCCAGTGACCACATTGTTGTTGCTGTTATTGTTACTGTTAGAGCTGTTGTGTGAGACCCAAGTCCTGAGCTCAGAGGCATTTTCTGGCCAGGGTTCTCTCCTCCCTCCTCCTCAGTCCCTGGAGGAGAAGTCAGCAGTGCCCCGTGGCTCTAGGAGGCATGTTCAGGAATGCAGCAGCCAGATGTGTGCACCTGGTAGGGGCCCTCCGGGGAAGGAAGGCTGGAGCCGCGCTCGCCCGGTGCTTGCACCAGACTGTAAGTGTTCTACCCCCAGCGCTCTGCCATCTGCATGGCCCCTGTTTGGTCTTGGCTTCAAAGCTGTGCATGAGCTTCCTGTTTCTGGAAGCCCTCTCTAGCTGCAGGCTGGATGTGGGTCCCTTCCTTACCCCTGCTTCTCTGTCTGGAACCTGTAGCTCTGCATCAAAATGAACTGCTTGGGTGCTGCTGCAGTGCTGCTGCCTCCCCATCATCCCCAGGGCCCAGCCCAGCACCCAGTACACAGTAGGTGCTCAGTAAATGTTAACTGAATGAGTGTGTTATGCATAAACCCAAGAATAGACACTGTCCTCACTTATCCAAGCACTGTGTGACATACTTAAAAGTTGTTCTTTTGAACACCCCACATTCCAGGGTCCCCCCATTATCTGTCTCCCTCCTAAACCCATTCAACTCCACTCACTTCCTCTGTTCTTCTCCCTCTCGATCTGTGCCCCTCTACTCCTTCCCACACCCTACCCCTCCCTACACTCCCCTCACTCCAACTTCTATCCCCCAGATGCCCCCAACCCCCACTATCCCTGACTCAGCTTCACTTTCTTTATTTTATTTTATTTATTTATTTATTTATTTTTGAGACAGAGTCTTGCTTTGTTGCCCAGGCTAGAGTGAGTGCCATGGCGTCAGCTTAGCTCACAGCAACCTCAAACTCCTGGGGGCTCAAGCAATCCTACTGCCTCAGCCTCCCGAGTGGCTGGGACTACAGGCATGCACCACCATGCCCGGCTAATTTTTTCTATATATATTATTTGGCCAATTAATTTCTTTCTATTTATAGTAGAGACGGGGTCTCGCTCTTGCTCAGGCTGGTTTCGAACTCCTGACCTCGAGCAATCCTCCTGCCTCGGCCTCCCAGAGTGCTAGGATTACAGGCGTGAGCCACCGCGCAGGCCATTCACTTTTTTTTTAAGACAGCCACACTAAGTTGCCCGGGCTGGCCTTTTTTTTTTTCGAGACAGAGCCCCACTCTGTTGCCCAGGCTAGAGTGCTGTAGCGTCAGCCTAGCTCACAGCAACCTCAAACTCCCAGGCTTAAGCGACCCCCCTGCCTCAGCCTCCCAAGTAGCTGGGACTACAGGCATGTGCCACCATGTCTAGCTAATTTTTATATATATACACTTTTAGTTGTCCAGCTAATTTCTTTCTACAGAGATGGGGTCTGGCTCTTGCTCTGGCTGGTCTCGAACTCCTAAGCTCAAATGATCCACCAGCCTTGGCCTTCCAAAGTGCTAGGATTACAGGCGTGAGCCACCATACCCAGCCTCACTTCACTTTTTTTAATACGATGTATCCCCAATTCAAAAGTGATTCCATATATCATTGAATTCATTATACCATCAGCTATAAAATGCATTGCTATTCTGTGGACTAGAAAGGGGACAAGTGCCAACTAAACTCATGCTAGAGATTGTAAGACACATCTGAATTCACAGAGAAGGATGCAATGCAAGAGAATGCATAGACCTGAATCAATTGCATAGGTACGCTCACCATAGAAAAACTTAGAAAAGCACATGCCCCAAAGTAAAGTCACCTATAATTCCACTACTCAGAGAGAACCTTTTCTTTTTTTTTTTTTTTTTTTGAGACAGAGTCTCCTTTGTTGTCCAGGCTAGAGTGAGTGCCGTGCGTCAGCCTAGCTCACAGCAACCTCAAACTCCTGGGCCAGTGATCCTGCTGCCTCAGCCTCCCGAGTAGCTGGGACTACAGGCATGCGCCACCATGCCCGGCTAATTTTTATATATATATCAGTTGGCCAATTAATTTCTTTCTATTTATAGTAGAGACAGGGTCTCGCTCTTGCTCAGGCTGGTTTTGAACTCCTGACCTTGAGCAATCCGCCCGCCTCGGCCTCCCAAGAGCTAGGATTACAGGCGTGAGCCACCGCGCCCGGCCAGAGAGAACCTTTCTTAACCGTTTGATAAAGTTCTTTCCAAGTTTTTTTTCTCTTCATCATGGTCACAGAAAACATACACACAAAAATATATTTTAGAGTATTTTCTTTACAAAGCAGAATCATAGTCTACATGCTATTTTGTAGCCTATTTATTGATATCAGTATATTACATTGACCAATACTCTCCTAAACTGTGATTTTCTCCCTTTGTCACCTGGACTAGATCATAGCTCACTGCAATCTCAAACTCCAGGGCTCAAGTGATCCTCCTGGCTCAGCCTCCTGAGCAGATAGGATTACAAGCATGTGCCACCATACCCAGCTAATTTTTTATTTTTTGTAGACACAGGCTCTCACTATATTGCCCTGGCTGGTCTCAAACCCCTGGCCTTAAGAGATCTCAAAGCCACGCCCAGATTCCTGATCCACAGAAACCATGATAGTAAAAGTTTTTATTTTTCTGAGACAGAGTCTTGCTCTTTTGCCCAGGCTAGAGTGTCATGGCATCAGCCTAGCTCACAGCAACCTCAAACTCCTGAGCTCAAGGAATCCTCCCACCTTGGCCTCCCAGAATGCTAGGATTACAAGTGTAAACCACAGAGCCTGGTCTCCCACATTTTTAATCATACAAATAAGACATTTGTTTCAGAACATTTGGATAATAAGAAAATTATAAGGAAAAAAAATAAAAAATGTCTGTTAAGTAACTAATCAAAAATAATCACCAATAAAATTTTGGTTATAACCACATTTTCCCTGGCAGGAATCACCATTGTTTTCAACTGTTTTGATGTGTACTGAGTGCGAGGCCTGGTGATATGTGTTAGGGATTCAGTGATGGGAGAAGTCTGTCATTGTTGGCAAAGCACCAGTGGGTGCCAGGCCCCCTGCCGGGTGCTGTGAATCGCTCACATTGGCAGGATTCCCAGGCTGTGGAAGAACCTGGCCTGGCCCTTATACAAATGGTCCCTGGGTGGGGGTGGGGGACCTCCAGGCAAGTGGCCTGGGGCTAAGACCTGCTGCGACAACCACCCCTGGGTCCTGGCTGGCTTCTCCTGTGACCTTGGGCTGATCCCTAGCCTCTTTGAGCCTCTGTGTCCTCCTGTGTTAGCTGGGGGTGGTTATTAGCACCTCTAGTGGAGATGCTGTGGGAACTGAGTGAGCTCAGGAACTGCAGTAAGGGTTCACTATTGGCCACAGCAGGTGGCTGAGACAAATGTTAAAGACCTGGCTCCACTACCTCCCAGCCCTCCGAGACTGGCAAACCCACAGAATGGACAGTTCCTCAGGGACCACAAAGCCCATGCTCCCATTGTACTGATGGAATACTGAGGCCAGGAGGAGTCAAATTACCTGTCCAATGTCACCCAGCCCAGGCAGGCTTAGGAGGTTCTATGTACATGTGGGTGTGGGAGGAGCTGGCCTGGAATGGACACAGGAAGGGGAGGAGCAGGCTGGGAACAAGAACCCCTGGGACTCTCCCAGGACTGGAGAAATGTCCCCTTCCCCTGAGTTAGAACATGGCCTTGGGTCAAACAGGCTTGTGTCTGAATGTATTTGTTGAGTGACCTTGAACACATCACTCCCCTGACTCCACCCTCCATTTTCTCATCTATAAGATGGGCCCAGCCAGATCATTCCGCAAGTTAAATGCAAGAGTTTAGCAAGACTTTTGTAAAGAGAAGCTGCTGCTGTCAGTGTTGCCATTGTCCTGTCCCTGTTCCTTACTTCCAGCTCCTCCTCCTCAGCCCCAGCCCTTCTTAGGTCAAACTGTACCTGGCTAAGTCAGGGTTGTATCTCAGGACACATGGAGCCAAGGCTGGGCTCCACTGAGCAGGGGCCGGGCAACCCTGAAGGTGGGGAGGTTGAGGCTGGGATTGCTGGAGTGGGGTAGAGGCCAGGCTGAAGCCTACCCTGCCTTAAGGGAACTCTGATCTCTGCCTCCCGCCTGGAAGTGGATGGGTGGAGCTATGGCCTAAAAGCAGCTGGGCAGGCCCAGACTCTGACCTTCCACTTGCTTGTCTCCAGCTCGCCATGACCAAGCGGCTGCAGGCCCAAAGGCTGAATGGGATCGATCACAACCCCTGGTGAGCTGGCTGGGCTGGGGAGGGGTGGGGGTATCCACTCGGGCATGGGTTAGCCACCCCTGAGTTACCAGGGGTACCCAGGGTGACCATGGTACACAGACTGCAAGATTTGCAGGCACAGCCCAAGAGAGGCAAGACCCGAGGCAGCAGGCTTGAGTCTGCTGCCACTTGGCTGTGGCACTGGCACAGGTGACATACTTACTCTGAGCCTCAGCTCCCCAGTTCAAAATTGAAGTAATGATACCTACCTGAGCGGTCTTGGGGAGGATAAGGTGAACTGCTCTCTAATAGCAATAGCCATTTTCCCCAGGCCCCAGCCTGAGAGCTTTGCAGCGATTATTTCATTTCCCACTTGGCATGGCGTAAAATAATCTTAGATAAGTAAGCCAGAAAGTAAGATGCAGTCAGCTCTTCACTAGATGTTTGCAGACTTGATATTCCTTTCTTTTTTGACTTGTTTTAAATATGAAAGGAACATGTGGCCATTGTCACTAGTGATACAATGGATGCCATGGGAAGGTGCAAAGCTTTAATAATCTTCCCACTCCCTCCCCCTACCTTTGGCCAGGTGTGTAGAGACACTGCTATATATTTGAAAAAAAAAAATAATGGCCACCATCTGGGTGTCCTCCAATTCAATTCTGACACTGTCAACCTGCAGACAGCATCAGATCTCACAGGTTCAGGGCTCAGTCCCACAAAGACCACCCCTACTTCAGGTGCCAGTCACAAGCACAGGTTGTGGCCTGTGCTTCTGACCAGCCACCTATAAATCGGGGCTCCCACGACCTGGGGTCCAATTTGCTAGAGCAGCTCACAGAACTCATGACGGCATGTACTTACATTTACCCATTTATTATAAAGGTCAATACAAAAGATACATATGAACACCCAGACAAAGAGATGCGTATGGGGAAGGTTCCTCCAGAAACATCCATGTGTTCAGCTCTCTGGAAGCCCTTGGAACTCAGTCCTTTGGCATTCTTACAGAAGAAGCTTCAATGGCCATTGGTTTACTGGCTTGACCTGCAGCCCCTGTTCCTTCCCTGGAATTCAAAGGGCACCACTGAAAGTTCAGCCCTCTACTCACATGGTTGGCTCCCCTGACAACCAGTCCCAGCCACCTCCCCCAGCCACCAGTCATTCATTAGCATACGAAAGGCACTCTTTTTTTTTTTTTTTTTTAAGCAGGGTCTCACTTTGCCCCTGGTAGAGTGCCATGGCGTCAGGCCAGCTCACAGCAACTTCAAACTCCTGGGCTCAAGTGATCCTCCGATCCTCTGGCCAGGGCCTCCCAGAGTGCTAGGATTACAGCCATGAGCCACTGCTCTGGGCCCACAAAAGGTATTCTTATCACTCCAGAGAGTCCAAGGAGTTTAGCCGCTCTAAATTAGAGGAAAGAAAAACTTGTAAGCACGCTGAGAAAGGCTCTTTCCTAACTCTCAGACCTAGCAGAGTTGGGGGGCAGAGCTGTAAGACTCCCAAACCCACTCCTGTTATTACAGAAGGGGAAACTGAGGCCAGGAGAGGCTAAATCTCCTGCAAAGGCAATGCAGAGCAGGAGCTGGCCTGGAAGGACTGCAAGGCACAGACAGGCAGGGATGTGAGGAGAGTCAGCAAAAGAGAGTCCCAGGCTCCTGCCACCCTCTGGGACTAGGACCCTGGAGGCCTGACCAAGAAGCAGTTGTTCTCTGCAGGGCCCTGAGCCTGGTTCCCCTCTTCCCAGCCCTGTCTCTAAAAAAAAAAAAAACAAATTGCAATGGAACATCCACCACTAGATTTTGAGTCCCAACTCCACCATTGGCTGCTATGTGACTTTGGGCAGATCACTGCCCACTCTGAGCCTCAACTATGTGCCTTCAGAGGCATCGTGGAGCTCTGAGGGGAAATGACAAATTTTAGACATAAATGATATTGATCCATGAATTCAACTCAGCCAAGCCTGACTTCTCTGCTCCCAGTCAGCCCAGAACCACATATGTGGCTCCAAGCTTCTTTCCCAGTTCCCCAGAGTGGCATCCTAGGCAGGGCCAAAACAAAGGTTGCTAGGGACCAGAGGTGTCTGGTGCAGGGGTCCAGCCTCAGTTTGTCCAGAATAGAGTCAAGAGCATAAACTGGGCTGGGCGCAGTGGTTCATGCCTGTAATCCTAGTGCTCTGGGAGGCCGAGGTGAGAGGATCATTTGAGCTTAAGAGTTCAAGACCAGCCTAGGCAACATAGCAAGATGCTGTCTCTACTAAAAATAGAAAAAATTAGCCAGGCATCGTGGCACATACCTGTAGTCCCAGCTACTTAGGAGGCTGAGGCAGGAGGATTGCTGGAGCCCAGGAGTTGGACGTTGCAGTGAGCTATGATGATGCCACTGCACTCTACCCGGGGCAACAGAGTGAGACCCTCTTTCAAAAAAAAAAAAAAAAGCATAAACTGTGCTTCAGACAGATGCAGAATCAAAGGCTGACATGCCTTATCCTAGCTGGAAGACCTTGGTGTCACTTGGCTCTCTGTCCGGATTGTGGTCCAAGAACAGGATGTACGTCAGAGGCCATTGTGAAGGTTACAGAAGCAGAGCACTTCAAACTGTGGTGTTGACAAATGGACCAAGGAGTCATGCAATCCATGTGGGCGGTCTCAACTAGTATTTTTAAAGAATAGAGTACAACAGGATAGGATAGAAAATGCTGTCCTAAATCGCACCTAGAAGGATGACGTTTCTGCACTTGTGCTCTCCAGGATTTGTGATGTGAAGCTTGTTCCTTACTCTGGGTCAGGGTGGAAGTTCAGAAGCCCCTGGGCTGCCCCACACGATTGGTGCAGTCCCTGACCTCAAAGCAGGAGATTGTTGACGCCTTCACACAGGTTTCGAGGCTTAGGCACATGCTGGTTGCCCAGTCTTTCTAGAACAGGCTCCGCACATGCTTACCCTGCCTGGAAACAGGCAGAAGTCAGGGTCGTCGGTCGGGGTGGAGGGTTGGGCTGGTGCTGACTCTCCATTTGTTCCCTAGGGTGGAATTTGTCAGACTCTCCAGTGAGTATGACGTTGTGAACTTGGGCCAAGGCTTCCCTGACTTCGCACCCCCAGACTTCGCCATGGAAGCCCTTCAGCGCGCTGTCAGCGGGGACTTCATGCTCAATCAGTACACCAAAGCATTTGTGAGTTTCCTGGCCTCTTCTGGATGCCCCGGGGAGGAGGGAGCGGCTGTTTCTGGACATCAAGCCCACCTAGGCGTCCGGGTTCATGGGGCAGAGCCCAGGGAATTCAGTCTGAGTGTCTCGTGGCCCAGTGGGGAAGGCAGACAAGAGACCAGTAATGACAAAGGCAGTTGGTACAGGCTGCAGTGGAGGAGGACAGGGTACAGTGGGAGCAGGAAGGAAGGAATTAAATCTGGGGAGATTGGGGAAGACTTCCTAGAAGAAGTAACACCTAAACCAAGCCCTGAAAGACAAGCTGCTGCTTGGATTACACTTTAAATCCAAACTGTTCCTGTAAAGGGCCACATAATAAATATTTACCAAGCATTGAATTGGAACAATGGTTCTTAAATTTTTATATGCCCCAGAATGGCCTGGATAGAGGTCCCCTCCAATTCCACCACCCAGAGATAACCATTGCCCACAGCTTGCTACTTTGCTGAAGAGTATTCTAGACTTTTTCACTGTTCTGACTTTTAAAAATGCCTATAAAAACATATGCATATGCACACACATATTTAATCCATGTGAGGCATACACACATGCAACATTTTTTAACACAAATGGACTCATGCTATACATGTCCCATAACTTAGTTCATTAAAAAGAATGTCATGGGCCAAGTGCGGTGGCTCACACCTGTAATCGTAGCACTCTGGGAGGCCAAGGTGGGAGGATTGCTTGAGGTCAGGAGTTCGAGACCAGCCTGAGCAAGAGTGAGACCCCCCCTCCCCGCCCGCCTGTTTCTACTAAAAATAGAATAATAACTAGGCAGGCAACTAAAAATAGAAAAATTATCCAGGTGTGGTGGCATGCACCTGTAGTCCTAACCTTAAACGGTGGGCTCGAGCAAAGGAAAGGACATTGGCTTTGAAGCCGCAGAAGTTTTCAAAGTGCCCTGAAGAGCCTTTAGGCTGAGCTACACTACTCTAGCCAGCAACAGAACAAGACGCTGCCTCAAAAAAAAATCGAAAAGAATGTCATGGACATCTTTCCATGTCAGAACAACCTCATTCTTTTTAATGGCTGCATAGTAGTTTTTGGGTCCCTTATGTAGCGGGACCAAGGGAAAGGTTTCCCTTTATCCTCTCAAGATTCACTGAAAAATCAATGCACAAGGCCAGGCATTCTGGTGGCTCACATCTATAATCCTAGCACTCTGGGAGGCCAAGGTGGGCGGATTGCTCAAGGTCAGGAGTTCGCTCAAGGTCAGGAGTTCGAAACCACAGCCCCTGAAGCCAAGGAAAGTGAAAAGAACGCCCTGTTCTCTACTAAAATTAAAGAAAATTTAATTGGACAAGGCTAAATGAATATATTAAGGAATATTTAGCCGGGCATGGTGGCACATGCCTGTAGTCCCAGCTACTCGGGAGGCTGAGACAGGAGGATCACTTGAGCCCAGGAGTTTGAGGTTACTGTGAGCTAGGCTGACGCCCCAGCACTCTACCTCAGGCAAGAGAGTGAAACTCTGACTCAAAAAAAAAGAAAAAAAAAATCAATGCACAAAAGTTAATTAATAGGAGAAATGGCATACAAATGTATTAACATGCACATGAGAGAGAACCACAGAGTGATTACCCCATGCCTAACAGGGCCCAGATACTTAAATAGCCTCATTTCAGAGGGCAGGAGGAAATAAAGAATATAGGTAATTCTGTTGAAGAGCAATAAATGATTACTAGGGCTAGGGAGAGTGAATGGATCTGGGAACAGAGATTAATTTGTAAATGGTTCTGAGGGTGGGTGACTCCTGCCTATAATCCCAGCACTTTGGGAGGCTGAGGCAGCAGGATTGGCTGAGCCCGGGAGTTGGAGGTTGCTGTGAGCTATGATCAGGCACATGGCTTGGGCAATACAGTGAGACTGTGTCTCTAGAATAACCATTTGTAAATGATTCTCTTTGGAAATTAAATGACCCTGAAAGATGTTTGTGAAACAGTCTGTTCAAGCGTGTTTTACATTCTTGGTCTTTGTAGTAGATGCTGAGATAACAGGAAAGGGAAGGAAAATCATTTGTTGTTGGGTCCATCAGTCTTTCATGTAGACAGAGGAAAAGTCTTTTCCAGCATCTGTTGATCTTTAAGGGCCTTTAATTCAAAATACTCATTAGACCAGGGAGCCGTGAAGTTCCCCGTATTCCTGCACCTAGATATATCATCATTTATTGAACCAATCTTACATGGACACTAATATTATATCAGATATCTCACTATCATAAACAATGCCACAGTGAATAGCCCTGTGAGGACAGCTTTGCATATATGTGGATTTCTCTAACATAAATTCCTCGAAGTAGGCCGGGTGTGGTGGCTCAGCCTGTAATCCTAGCACTCTGGGAGGTCGAGGCGGGAGGATTGCTCCAGGTCAGGAGTTCGAAACCAGCCTGAGCAAGAGCGAGACCCTGTCTCTACTATAAATAGAAGAATATAATTGGCCAATAATATACATAGAAAAAATTAGCCGGCATGTGTCGCATGCCTGTAAGTCCCAGCTACTCGGAAGGCTGAGGCAGCAGGATCACTTGAGCCCAGGAGTTTGAGGTTGCTGTGAGCTAGGCTGACGCCATGGCACTCACTCTTAGCCTGGGCAACAAAGTGAGACTCTGTCTCAAAAAAAAAAAAAAAAAAATTCCTCGAAGTAAAACTCGTGAATCACAGGCTGTAAAATTTAAATATATGATAGATATTGTTAAATTGCCCTCAGTAAGGTCCACTCATGTGCACGCCTGCCTCAAACCTCAAACTCCTGGGCTCCAGCAATCCTCCTGCCTCAGCCTCCCAAGTAGCTGGGACTACAGGCATGTGCCACCACACGAGGATAATTTTTTCTATTTTTAGAAACAACAGGGAGACTGCTCAGGCTGGTCTCGAACTCCTGACCTCAGGCGATCCTTTTGCCTTGTCCTCCCAGAGTGCTAAGATTACAGGCGTGAGCCACTGCACCCAGCCGCTTTTTTTTTTTTTTGAGACAGAGTCTTACTCTGTTTCCCAGGCCAAAGTGTAGTGGCACCATCATAGCTCACAGTAGCCTCGAATTGCTAGGCTTAAGCGATCTTCTTGCCTCAGCCTCCTGAGTAGCTGGGACTACAGGGGCACACTGCTGTTTTTTTTTTTTTTTTTTTTTGTGTTTTTTTGTTTGTCGTGTTTTTGCTCGCCCGGGGCACACCCACCACTGGCCCTGATTTTTTTTTTTTTTTTTTCTGTGCCCCAGGCTGGTCTCAAACTCCTGGTATCAAGTGATCCTCCCACCTTGGCCTCCTAAAGTGTTGGGATTACAGGCATAAGGCACTGCGCCCAGCCTAATGTTATATTCTTATAACATGGTAGTAGTATTTCCCTGTTATTTGCTTTTCTTTAGTTATTATTCTTTTCATCTTTAGTTATTATTCTTTTTGTATACATCAGCATTTTTTCTTTCATGGTCTTCCTTTGTTCATTTTTGCATTTGGGTGTATATCTTTGTCTTGCTCCTTTGTAAAAGCTCTTTACATATTAAATATATTTACCTCTTTCTCTTATGTTTCAATGTTTTTGTCTTTTAACATTGCTCATGGTGCTTTTTGTTGCACAGAAAATTTTCATCTTTGTGTTCTAGACAAAGTTTCAGTCACTTGGCTTAGCCTTGAGTATTTCTTAAGTGGCCTCGGCAAACAAGCTTATGGATCCAATCTTCCTCTCAAAGTGGGGTGCTTCCAAAGCTGCAAAATAAAGTCCTATTCTTGCCCATCACCATCTATGACCTTGGACAAGTTATTTCCTTTCTCTGGGTCTTTATTTTTTCTGCTTGTCAAATGGTGGGGATCAAATAATACCTCTCTTGCAAGGCTGCTGGGAGGATGGGCACAAGGGTGGGCCGAGCCTGGTGGCTAACCCCTGCTGTCCTGGCAGGGTTACCCGCCACTGACGGAGATCCTGGCAAGTTTCTTTGGGAAGCTGCTGGGACAGGAGATGGACCCACACAAGAATGTGCTGGTGACTGTGGGAGCTTATGGGGCCCTGTTTACAGCCTTCCAGGCCCTGGTGGATGATGGTGACGAGGTGAGTGGCTAGGCTTGAGTCGGGTGGGGGAGGGGTCAGGGCCATGCTGACCTCAGCTAATCTGATCTGTGTATCAGGTCATCATCATCGAACCTGCTTTTGACTGTTACGAGCCCATGACGTTGATGGCTGGGGGTCGCCCTGTATTCGTGTCCCTGAAGCCAGTAAGCATGCTAGGTGGGGTGTGAGTGGGCAGAGGGACCCCAGGCATGGGCTGAGTTAGACCCTGGGAGGAGGGAAGGGAGGAGGGAAGTGAAGGAGGCCAGTTCCTCTGAGCTAGGTGTGTGTTCAGAGCCTAGAGCCTAGAGCAGGGGTCCTCAAACTACGGCCCGCCAGCCACATGCGGCCCGCTGAGGACATTGATCCAGCCTGCTGGGTGTTTTTGCCGCTGCTGCCTGTCCTGCTTAGCAGCGGACCTGTCCCTGGCCCACAGTGCGCATGTGTAGAATGTGCACAGCACTCTCCAACGGCCCTCCAGCGGTCTGAGGGACGGACAGTGAACTGGCCCCCTGTTTAAAAAGTTTGAGGACCCCTGGCCTAGAGGAAAGGAGGTGAGGACAGATGCTTGGGGGGGGGAGCTGAATGTCCAGTGGGTGAATATTGCTACCCACTGCCACCTGCTCTTGCAGAGTCCCATCCAGGACGGGGAACTAGATTCCAGCAGCAACTGGAAGCTGGACCCCACAGAGCTGGCCAGCAAATTCACCCCTCGCACCAAAGCCCTGGTCCTCAACACACCCAACAACCCTCTGGGAAAGGTACCTGAGAGACCCCTTCCAGGGACCCCTCCAGACTGGGTTCACATCCTGCCCCATTCCTGATTTGCTGCTGTGGGGCCTCAGTTTCTTTATCTGTGAAGTGGGAGGGCCACGTGCAATAAGCTCTTAGGACCGAGGCTCCAGAGGCCCCATCGACAGCAGCAGGAATCCCCAGGGAGGGCAGGAGAGTTGGGGGGAGGGAGTGGGCTGGGTGCCTCCATCACTTGCCAGTGACCTTGGGACAGTGACTCAACCTCTCACCGTGTTTCCTCATCTATAAAATGGGAACATGAAAGAACCATCCTCACGGAGTCTGGGTTGCAGGGATCCAATGGGACGGTGCGGAATAGCCCTTAGCACCAGGCTTGGCCATATCCTTTAATCTCTCCTAGCAGCATCTGTGTTTCAGAATGGTCCTGGCTGCAGGCCTGTGCCCTCCTTGGGTCCCCGCAGGTGTTCTCCAGGGAGGAGCTGGAGCTGGTGGCTAGCATGTGCCAGCAGCATGATGTGGTGTGCATCACTGACGAGGTCTACCAGTGGCTGGTCTACGACGGGCACCAGCACATCAGCATCGGTGAGCCAGGCTGGCCCGGGGGCCCCTCCCCTGGGTGTTGGTGGCAGGGCCTTGACCTGTTCTGAGAGTCAGTGACTGGTGGTTAGGACCAAGAGGTCTGGAGCCACACGGGTCCTGTGGCTTTTTCCTCCCTGAATGCGAAGGATCACAGTAGCATCTGCCCCCTGGTTCTTGAGAGGATGAGATAAAATAAGTCCTGCATATAGCTTAGTGCACAGAGGAATCCAAAGTGTTGGGCCTGCGAATGCTCCCGGTGTGTAGGCCACCATCCCCCTGCCCCCACCCCCTTTCACCTGCTGCTCCCTTTGGCCTTGGCAGCCAGCCTCCCTGGCATGTGGGATCGGACCCTGACCATCGGTAGCGCTGGCAAGACCTTTAGCGCCACCGGCTGGAAGGTGAGTTGATGAGGGTGTGGGATAATCCCCTCCCCAAGATCCATGCCAGGTGACCTGGGGCTGGGAATTGAGAAAGGGTTTGGCCAGGCCTGGGAGGGCCTCATCCCCTACCTGTGTTCCTGGTCCAGGTGGGCTGGGTCTTGGGTCCAGATAATATCCTGAAGCACCTGCGGACTGTACACCAGAACTCTATCTTCCACTGCCCCACACAGAGCCAGGTGAGGAGGGGCGGGAGACCCCACAGTGGTGGCAGGGGTTGCCACAGAGGAGCCCTGGGTGGAGTGTCAGGGCACACCTGACCTACCTGTCCATCTGCCCTGCCTAGGCCGCAGTAGCCTGGAGCTTTGAGCGGGAGCAGCTGTGTTTTGGCCAGCCCAGCAGCTACTTTGTGCAGTTCCCACAGGCCATGCAGCGAAGGCGTGACCACATGATCCGCAGCCTGCAGTCAGTGGGCCTGCAGCCCGTGGTCCCCCAGGGCAGCTACTTCCTCATCACAGACATCTCAGACTTAAGTGAGTGGGACTGGCCAGTCTGGGCAGAGTCTGAGGCTGGAGGCCGCCTACGGCTTAGCATGGTCTCTGTCCCACAGAGAGGAAGATGCCCGACTTGCCTGGCACTGCGGATGAGCCCTATGACAGCCGCTTCGTCAAGTGGATGATCAAGAACAAGGTGGGCTGGGCCTCCACCAGGGCCACCATGTGTGATTTCATGGGTTGTGGGTTGTTCAGGGGTGCCCATACAAGGGCTGATGGGCCAAAGTCCAGCCCAGCCTCTGCCATGAGCCCTGGTACAGGGTTGCATCTACTTCAAGGAATGGGGAGCCTGTTCCTAATTTGCACAAGATGCCATGTAGGCTGGCAGGATTTCCTGCCTCTCTGGGACCCAAGTCTTCCTGTCTGTGCTGTGGTGAGTTGGCCCATTTACTCTGAGCTAGTCCTTCTAGCTCAAATCTGTGACATAAGGCTTATTTCTGTCCTGATGCACAATCTTCCTTCTCTTGGCCTCCATCACCTCAGTACACAGGGACTTGGCATGACGTTCTGGGATTCTTTTCCTCTGACCTTAATACAGCACTTTGAAGTGCTGGAGCTAACTTCCCCTCATTCCCCATCACGAGGCTCTCCCTGCACCCCTGTGCTGAGGCCGTGTTGAGACGTGGCCATCCTCCTCCACAGGGCTTGGTGGCCATCCCCGTGTCCATCTTCTGCAGCAAGCCGCATCAGAAGCACTTCGACCACTATATCCGCTTCTGTTTTGTGAAGGTAAGGGGCGTGGCAGGGGGAGGGAAGCCCTCACCAAGCTCCCGAGGCTGCTGGGAGTGTGGGGAGAGGGTGGGACCAACCTGTGTCGGTGCAGGATGAATCCACGCTCCGCGCCATGGACGAGAAGCTGCAGGAGTGGAAGGCCGAGCTCAACCCCTGAAGCCTCCTCTTCAGCCCTGATCCACCCAGTCCCCACACATTCTTGTGGGGTCTTTCCAGGTCGGGGGAAGATGGCACTGGGAGACCCCTTCTCTGTGACGTAGAGTGTTCCCAGGGAAGAGCCCCCTCCTTGTTCTTGGGGAGTCAGGTGTTACCTCTCCACATTGTCCATACTCCTGTCCCCAAGTAGAGGGAGGCCTGACCTGGCCTCTTCCTGCCCCTCTCTGGGTCAAGTCACAGGGCTTTGGGTTGCTTCTGGTCTCCCCAGTGTGGCTGGGACTGACAGGGCAGAGTCCTACAGTGTATTGGACTCATGTCCCCAACCCTGCACTGCCCCAGCTAAGGCTCAGGTATAACCCCTACCTTTCCTGTCTAATCTTGACCTTGGGAAGTTGCCTTTAATCTTGAGTCCTCAAGCCAGCCCTTTCTGCCCATAATAAAGTTTTAAGTTATTCAAACACTTAATGACAGCTTTCCTCTGCTTTGCACTGTGGTGCTGATAGCCAACCTAGACTTGGTCAGGAAGGGAGGAACCTCAGAGAACCTCAGACCCCTGACACACACACTTTGTGCAGACTTTCTTGTGGAATAAAAGCGAGGCCCAGAGAAGGGCGGGGACTTGGGACTTGCCCCAACTGCATTCCCCATCCTCCATTAATTTGATAACAGTAGTGATTACTGGTGCTGGGTGCAATGGCTAGGTCAGGGGTGTCCTGTGTGTTTGTAGAGGATGGGGGCTTCTGACAAGGAAGATACAGACATTCCCACAGGAGAGAGAGAACTGCCCCAGTGTGGGCTGTGGGCTGTGGGCTGGGAGTGCCAGGGACTTGCAGAATTAGACAGGAGGAGAAGGAGTAGCTAGTAGGATGTTCATCCCATGGGAAAGCAAGATCGTTCCTGCATTCACTTGTAAGGTAGTCAGAGGGGACATGTCTTGAAGTTGCATTTGCATAGTAAGCACATGCTTATATCATGTGTTTAATTGGGGGAACTATTGGGAGCATATGTATAATAAAAAAAAATTTGGTCTTTGTCCCTGATTTTTGGCACAGAACTCCTAAAAAGCCATAGAATTTCTGAGTAACAGCAGTGTCTGTTATTCATAAGGCATCCCTCTGGACGTCCACATTAGAGGGTCAGAACTTCTAGCCCATCCCTGCCTCCAGAGAGGGACTTTGAGCTCAATCACACAGCCAATGATTTAATCAGTCATGGCCGTGAAATGGGACCTGTTTAAAAATATTACAACAGATTTAGTTTAAAGATCTAATTACCGGCTGGGTGCGGTGGCTCACGCCTATAATCCTAGCACTCTGGGAGGCCAAAGCAGGTGAATCACTCAAGGTCAGGAGTTCGAAACCAGCCTGAGCAAGAGTGAGACCCCCATCTCTACTAAAAATAGAAACAAATTAGTTGGCCAACTAAAAAATATATAGAGAAAAAATTAGCCGGGCATGGTGGCACATTCCTGTAGTCTCAGCTACTTGGGAGTCTGAGGCAGGAGAATCACTTGAGCCCAGGAGTTTGAGGTTGCTGTGAGCTACGCTGACGCCACAGCACTCTAGCTGGGGAAACAGAGTAAGTCTCTGTCTCAAAAAATAAAAAATAAAAAGATATAATTAACTTTTATTAGCAAGTCTAGAACTGGCAACAATTCATTCTATAAAATAGAATGGGTGCTCCAAATTGCTTAGCAATGGGGGTTGGCTTTATAGGCAGAAAAGAGCTGAAGAAAGTAGAAATAAGAAAGAAAAGTGGATTGATTCCTTCAAAGTTATTTTCCCTATAGGGCCAAAATGATGGGGGTTTCATATCATGCTGGCTCAGGTAAACTGCACTCCTTCTGATTGGTTGCTGTGAATCTTCTGGGGTTTTTTTGGCAGGGGAAGGGAACTGGCCCATTTCAAAGTTCAGTTTGATTAAGTAGCACTTAGCACAGGTGACTCTATTCTAGTTTGGTCTAGTTTATCGGTGTCTAGTGCAGGAGCTCAGTCCAAAACAATGGCCTCCAATACACTTTTGTTTAATAAAACCTATATAAAAGCCCTAAAACTGGGCCACATGCTATGGCTCATTTCTGTAATCCAAGTACTCTGGGAGGCCAAGGCGGGAGGATTGCTCTAGGCCAGGAGTTCAAGACCAGCCTGAATGAGAGCAAGACCGACCACTCTCTATAAAGAACACAAAAATTATGGCTGGGCGTGGTGGCTCACGCCTATAATTGTAGCATTCTGGAATGCTCCAGCTTGAGCTCAGGAGTTAAAGACCAAACTGAGCAAGAGCGAGATTCCATCTCTACTAAAAAAATAGAAAGAAATTAGCTGGACAACTAAAATATATATATATGTATAATTAGCCAGGCATGGTGGTACATGCTACTCAGGAGGCTGAGGCAAAAGGATCACTTGAGCCTAGGAGTTTGAGGTTACTGTGAGCTAGGCTGATGCCAAGGCATTCTAGCTCAGGCAACAGAGTGAGACTGTCTCAAAAAAAAAAAAAGAAGAAGAAGAAGAAGAATACAAAAACTAGCCAGGTGTAGTGGCTCATACCTATAGTTCCAGCTACTCAGGAGGCTGAGGCAGGAGGATTGCTTGAGCCCAGGAGTTTGAGGTTGCTGTGAGCTATGGTGATTTGAATCCATCTCAACCTATGTGTGAATGAGCATCAAGGTTTGATGTTACTATTCCAACAATATTGAACTATTTGAAACAAATCAGTAAAGTAAAGAAGCTGCATAGATGGTTTTGGCATGAATTAAATGAGTATCAGAAGAGAAATCATCTCAAAGCTTGCCTTTCTTTGCTGTCACAACATAAAGGTGAACCATTCCTGCACCATATTGACACATGTGATGAAAATGGATTCTTTTTGACAATCGAGAGCATTCAGCACAATGGTTAAAGACAAAGTGCTGAAATATAGTCCAAAATCGAATATTCATCAAAAAAAATTAATGGTGTGTGTTTGGTGGTCCAGCACTGCTATTATCCACCACGGCTTCATGAAACCTGGTCAATTGATTACAGCAGATGTCTACTGCAAACAGTTGGATGAAATGATGCAGATGGTTGTCATTAAGCAGCCGAGATCAGTCAATAGAGATAGGCCAATCCTCTTGCAACACCACATGTTAAAAAAACAACGCAGCTGGCCGGGCGGTGGCTCACGCCTGTAATCCTAGCTCTCTGGGAGGCCGAGGTGGGCAGATTGCTCAAGGTAAGGAGTTCGAAACTAACCTGAGCAAGATCGAGACCCTGTCTCTACTATAAATAGGAAGAAATTAATTGGCCAACTAATACATATAGAAAAAATTAGCCGGACATGGTGGTATATGCCTGTAGTCCCAGCTACTCAGGAGGCTGAGGCAGCAGGATTTGAGCCCAGGAGTTTGAGGTTGCTGTGAGCTAGGCTGACACCTAGCTGGGCAACAGAGTGAGACTCTATCTCAAAAAAGAAAAAAAGAAAATTAGCTGAGCATTCAGCTTGTACCTGTAATCCCAGCTACTCTAGAGGCTGAGGAGGGAAGATCCCTTAAGCCAAGCCTTAAGTTCAAGGCTTCTCTGAGCTATGGTGACACCACGGCCTTCCAACCTGGATGATAGAGGAGACCCTTGTCCCTAAAAAAAATTTTTAATGAGCTATCAAGCCATGGAAAGACATGGTGGAACCTTAAATTCATATTGTTTAATGAAAGAGCCAATCTGAAAAGGCTACATACTATATGATTTCAACTATATGACATTCTAGAAAAGGCAAAACTATAGAAACAGGCCAGGCATGGTGGCTCATTCCTGTAATCCTAGCACTCTGGGAGGCTGAGGCAGGAGGATTGCTCAAAGTCAGGAGTTCGAAACCAGCCTGAGCAAGAGCTAGACCCCTTCTCTACTAAAAATAGAAAGAAATTAATTGGCCAAGTAAAAATATATAGAAAAAATTAGCCGGGCATGGTGGTGCATGCCTGTAGTCCCAGGCATGAGGCTACTCAGGAGGCTGAGGCAGAAGGATTGCTTGAGCACAGGAGTTTGAGGTTGCTGTGAGCTAAGCTGACGCCACCGGCATTCTAGCCCAGGCAACACAGTGAGACTGTCTCAAAACAACAACAACAACAATAAAAACCTATAGAAACAAAGATCAAGCCGGGCGGGGTGGCTCATGCCAGTAATCCTAGCTCTCTGGGAGGCTGAGGCAGGCAGACCGTTTGAGCTCAGGAGTTTGAAATCAACCTGAGCAAGAGCGAGACCCGGTCTCTACTATAAATAGAAATTAATTGGCCAACTAATATGTTTAGAAAAAATTAGCTGGGCATGGTGGCGCATGCCTGTAGTCCCAGCTACTCGGGAGGCTGAGGCAGGAGGATTGCTTGAGCCCAGGAGTTTGGGGTTGCTGTGAGCTAGGCTGATGTCACGGCACTCACTCTAGCCTGGGCAACAAAGTGAGACTCTGTCTCAAAAAAAAAAAAAAGCGAAGTATGATCGCTTAAAAAAGAAATGATTCATTACTCCATGGTCATGCTTCCAGCCATAGATACTCAGCCTGGCCTGAGGTCAGGTATAACCGCGAGAAGGTTCTTGAGATGACGAGATTATCCACCAGCACCAAACAACAAACAGAGAGCCAATCGAGCATCCAGGTCGGGACAGTGCGCCGAGACGCAACCATGTGGAGCGCCAGCTGATACACAGCGACTAGCTTCAGCGCACCCAGAGACGAGATAGCCACGAGCCGGAGCCCTCCGCGGCCCACGAGAGCACACACGCGGGGCGCGTCCTAGCGACGCCACGGGCGCCGCTGGCTCTCCCGATTGGACAGCTTCGTGGAGGTGTGGCCGGAAGAGACGAGTCGGATTGGCAGGGGCGTGGCCGAAGGTGTGCGGCGCAACATGGCGGAGCCCGCGCGGAAGCGGCCCTGCGGCCCGGTAGGTGGCGGGAGCCGGGATCCCGGGCTGGCAGTGAGTTGGAGGCGTGAGAACAAGAGGTGTAGGGGCCTCCGGTGGGGCCAGGGCGGGCCTCCTGCCCCCTACTTCGTGCCGATCCGAGGCCGGAAGCCACGGAGGTGCCGCAAGCTAGTTGTCGCGTGCGGCTCAGCTCGATGAGAACAGGAGGTGGGAGCGTGGTCTGGGGCTGGGGCAGTGTAGGGTAGCCTGTGGCCGGAGCCGCCTGTGGTTTTCTGGTACCAGCTGGATTACAGAGCAGGTGGGAGCCTGCTCACAATTCTGAGCCCTTTCGTGGTTTGTGTCTTCTGACTCCCAGGGCGACAGTGGGCAGGTCCTGCCTCCTGAGCCTCAGTTTCCTCTTCTGTTCCGTGGGAACTCATTCAACAATTTATTTAGTGCTTACTATGTGCCAGGCCTGGTTCCAGGCATTTAGTGTACAGCGAGCCCCTGCCCTCCTGCCGCTTCCTGGGGCAGCAGTGTGTGAAGGGTCCCTACATTCATCATCGCCTCCATTTAGAGGGGTAGGATGGCT